AATTGACCTTTACGAACTAGGCCAATTGGTTGGGAAAACCCCGTGTTACCTGGACATAGAAAACTATCCGATAAGGGTTCTAATAGGTCATTGCTTGATGAAGTCGGAGGCTGGTAGAATGAGTGAGCCGATGGATTGTGTAACCCTTATGTGTGATGGTGGCCTTCAGAGACGGGGGCCAAAGCATCATCCAAGTATCATTACATAGCATACTTATGTGATAGTCATTTTGGAAAAGTGAACCACTTTTTAGGGTGAAGCTTATGCATGTACGAGAGATATCCCTATTCACCATATGAGTTGTGGTCGCATCTGGTCTGAGTGACATCGGTATGTCTCTAGGGGAAGACTTGAAATCCACAAACTGTGATTACGACCCTTAACTCATCTGCCAGACTTTGGTGACCCATTAATGAGCCCCTGCATGGACTATGGGTCATGAAAAATACTGGGTCGGTTTGATAAAGCAAGTGTGACCTGTAGTCCACAGTTGAAGGTGGAGTGCCCCAGTGTTTATTGATTTAATTCCTAGACTATATGAATCATTTTCCTATCTAATGAATTTAATTATGTTTGTTTTATGATATATATGATTTTAAAAATATTATTTGAATTTTTCTAGACCTTTAAAGACTTTATTTATCAAATTTGGATTTATAAAAACATAGATATTGTTTTTACATTGATTTTAAATATTCAAATAAATTCTAAAATTCTTTTATTGATTTTTAAAAATATTTAAAATTGCATGGGGCCCATTGTGCACATGGTCTCACCATGGCCTATATGGTGGGGCCCATGAGTTCCTCTCATGGGTGGCACGCCTCACCCATTTAAGGGCTTTCCATTTATTTTTTAGATATATAACTTTGGCTTGAAGGCTAAGTTGTTGTGTGTTTTGGAAAAGTATTGGCTTGAGGAAGCTTTGTATGGATTTTTGGAAAGCATGAGAGGCTTGTGCATTATTTTTGGCATGTACAATATTATATTTGAAATTCTTTTATTTAATTTCTATTTGATGGGAAAATAGTTTAGGAAAAGGGGATAAAAGTTCTAACACCTTCCTTGATGTTGATGACTCATCTATAGAATGGAGGGCTCAAATCTCTCACCCCACAAGTCACCCAAGATCAATGATTCATGGTCAATCTCACAAGAAGAGGCAAGCTTTAGAAAACCCTAAGAAACCCTAATCCTATTTTTGCACTATAAATAAGAGGACCCCTTGCTTATAAATCTCTATACCAAAAATCTCTCTTCTGTCTAAATAGTTCTCTCTCTCTTTGGTAAATATAGGGGGCATGCCCCAACCCTAAAACTCTCTCTCTAGACTTAGTAAGGGGCACGCCCTACATCTTGGACTATCTGTCTCTCTCGAGGTTGACCAAAGGGGACACGCCCCACCTAGATGGTGTTATCTCTCTCTGATCTTGCTTTGATGAACTTAAGGGTTGGGTAGTATTAAATAGATGTTATCTTACTTAAACTAGGTCATGTGAGTTTGTATTTTTTTTTGTGATAAAGTGGAGTTCAAAGTTCTATTGGAGGGCTTGGCCTAAACTTGTTTTCCAGGTTGAGATTGAATGTTGATCGTTGATCTCGCACCGTCGGATGGTGGTGACTCAGTATGGGGTGTAACAAACCCGGTTCAGGTAAATCCGGCATTCTCTTTTTGTTATCATACTTAAACTAGGTCTTGTGAGTTTGTACCTAAGTTTGAGCTTTTTTTGTGATCAAGAGGAATTCATAGTTCTATCGGAGGGCTTGGCCGAAACTTGCTTTCCCGGTTCAGATTGAATGTTGATCGTTGATCTCGCGTCATCGGATAACGGTGACTCGATGTGGGGAATAATAACCTTGGTTGAGGTAATCTCTGGGATTCTCTTTTTGTTTTTTGCATATTTAATTATATTGTCTTTACATTCCCAAACATAAGATGTAGTGGTTATTTTCTATGTTTAAAGAAAAATTAGTTCAGTGGCATCAAGGTTTTTAGATATTGGATTTGTTGGTTTATATTTTTTTTGAAACAAAGAGTTATTGTAATAAAATTATTTCTAAGTGATATTTGCCAAAAAAAAAAAAAAAAATGGGCAAAGAAAAAAAAGGAAAACTCCGACAAGATCACAAGTCTTTTTTTCAAACAACTCCAATCTCATACATATATTATGCCATGCCCGCACGAGAACATGACCTGCATACACATATCATGTGACGTGTGCGGCGTTTGGATGCTTGACATACAATGAAGGCAGCCTAGTGGTTCATTTTGAGTTTTAACTTGCTTTGAAATTTTCCTTAACAAAACCCAAAAATACCATAAACCACGTACCTCAAGCATAAAAATACCATTTTGGCCCTTGTTATGTTTTAATTGGATTCTGTAGCCTAAGCAAAGATAACCGACCTATAGACCTCAGGGGATGGTTGCCCCACTTTATAGAGGATATATATAGAGATTGAATCACATGGAAATTGCCGAGAGACTACAAATAGTCTAGTATAAGTATGAGAATAAATCTCATAAGAAGTGAGGTATGCATAAAATATAAAGGGAGAGAGAAAGAGAGCTACCAATCGATTTTATTTCAAAAAGTTGGCGGAAAAAATCGGGTAAAAACGGATCACTAAAAAAATAATGTAAGTTATAGAATCGTGAATATTTTGGATTTGGTTCAAAAAACATAATGAAAAAATCAAATGTGTAAAAATGATAAAATATAGAATTATGATTTGCAGCTATTGTATAGATATACTAAAGCCGCTAAACGATAATTTATAGCCTTACTAGCGTCTTTAGAATAATACTTAACAATTTTTTGTTGAAACTTTAAATAAATCTAGCAATAATAGTTACTTTGTTGTCGCATCCCAAAAAGCATATCATAGATGTTTTGCGAGCATAAAATGAAACAACAACAACAATACTAAACACAAGAACTAATTAGTAAATAATAAAAATTATGAACCAAAGTACATGGTTATTTCTAAAAACAAAAACAAAAAACACCATCAATATACGATTGCAGCTAATTGAAAAAAAACACAAAGACCCAAATATGTAAAATAATGGTCCATCCAAAATGCTATGTTGTATACACCAATAAAATATATATATATAAAAAAAAATGAAATTAATCAAACTTCTTTATGCCAAAAAAAAAAAAAATGCTAAAGAAAATTTGAATCTCACTCTGAATAGCTACTTAAATCTCTAGTATCATTGGATCTCTCACTAGCTCTTTACAAGGACGCTATGGGTTAAAAAAAGAAAAAGATTTTTCATTAGGTTGTTCTTTTAAGTTTGCCTATTATTTTAAAATGGAAAAAGTTTACATAAGGATGTTACCTTATAATGTAGAAATACGGATACCCCTAAAAAATCCACAGAAAAAAGGTAGTTTTAATGTAAAAAAACCTTTTGATTGATCATCTTGATATCGAGATGTATGACTATGAAAATTAAAAAGATTTGAAGTATCAGAAATAATGCATTTTACAACATATTATCTACACCGTCCATTTTCAATATTTTATATGTTTATAGATCTACTTGATTTTAACCATTTTTAAAATTTAAAATTTTATAATTAGATATAAAAATAGATTTTGAGATAATCCTAACAACATTTTACATCAAAATTATATGCCATGATAAAATTTGAAGGTGCATCTTACCTCTACACCTACGGATGCATCCGTATACAAACTGCACCTTTTTAAAATATATGATTATTTTAATTGTTTTTTTAGGAATATATTTCTTGTATTTTTTGTATATATTTTTTAAGATAAATCATTGGTGAAAGTTTTTATGCAATTGTTTGTTAAATGAAGAATCTTAATTTACTCCCACTGTTAATGTATTTATTTTTAAATCAAAATTCAATAATATTAAGTTAATGAAGAAATAAAGTTATAGAAAATAAGGTTTTTTGAAAAGCTTTTTTGAAAAACGATAAAATACGAATTTAAATTGGTTCTATTAAAAAGCAATAAATTTTTTAAGATCTTTTGAAAAAATTGAAGTTCTAAACGTTTTTCAAAAAATCAGAGATTTTTTGAAAAAGAAAGTGTTTTAATCAGAAACTTGGTAACTATTGGTGAGACTAACAAATAATAGAATTGGAGAAGAGAATAGATTGATTTTCTCCGAGAAAGACATCATGGAAAAAAACATAAGCGTCGCATAATTTTGGAGTGAGGAATTTTTCATTTTTGAGAGAGATGCTACAGAGAAAAAATGGGTTTTGAATGGATTCCTAGCAACAGACACCCTGACCTATCTCGAGGTGACATTGGAGTCGCGGTTTATGGAAACACCAATTTGTATCTAAATGTTTAAGAAATTCAGAATAGTATGTTCTAGAAAGAGAATTAAAAAAAAAGTGGATAAAAAAGGTGGAAGATAGAGTATTGTTACTCCAATACCGAACCAAAAGACTTACTGCGATACCGAATAAAAAGAATGCAAAACAAAAAAACCCAAATGACTACTTCAAACTGCACTTGAGTTCGAATCCCACGTATAGAGGGAGGGAGAAAGAAGTGAGCATATGAATTATAATTTGTTTTAGAGAGAGAGAGTAGACTTGGATTATGTTGGGGGTAGGGTATTGAGCAAGTCCATTGTACAGGTTGAACAAAATGGAGGATTAGAATTTGTAAATAAGTCCATTGTTCTGGTTTTTCTTATTATGTAAGTAGGAATTGTCAGGGTTATTTTTTTTCTTCAACCTTTTTTTTTTTTTTTTGACAAGGTTACATAATAATGGAACTTCAGATGTTAGATTATAGAAACCCATCCTCTACCGTATTGATCCAATCCTTATTCTTTCTTTTTTGACCTTTTAGAATGGGAAGAGGATTTTAATCAGAATTGATTGATGAAATGCTGAATGCAAAGCTGTTTTCGTTGACAGCTAAACAAATAGTAAATTTTTTCTTTATCTTAAAATAAAAAGAAATATAAAACACAGTCAAGCAGGAGATGTTGCGACAATGGCATACATGAAACCATAAGCATTACAATGACAATAACCAAGTTCAATAATCGAAAAGACAGCATGATGGATGCAAAACTCCTCTTCTCACCCTCTCAAGGATTCCTTGCTTTTTCCACATCATTGATGAGACTTTTCTCTTCTACTTTCTCATTGTTATCATCTTTGCTCTTTCCCCACATAACGCAATAAAAACCCAAAATTATGAGACATCCCCCAATCACACTACAAGTCATCATAAAATAAACAACCATCAAAATATTATATTAAATTACTTTCAAGTGTTAGTTTGATTCTAATCAAATTGGCCTATTATATTTTCTAACATAAAAATCGTACAATTTCTTGTAGTGATTGCATACTATATGACCATTTATTTTTAGTATAAAGAGTTCACAATCATTTTCAGCCATTGGATAAATTGCAGTGTGTCATAATATTCGAGAAATGTTTTTTGAACATCCTGCCCAATCAATGATGCATCCTCAATCACCTGATTTTATATCCAACGGTCAATAATCATTGGAACCTTCTTATATAAAAAAAATAAATGGTCTCCTTGTATACATTTCCTTTCTTATATATCACATAAAATTCATCAAAATTGAATGACATTTAGAATAACGGGAGAAATGCAAACCTTCCCAAATGAAGGCGTTCCTTGAGGAAAAGGGCACTGAGAATCGCTGCGATGATAAGTTGAAGGGGAAAAAATAGGGCAACAAATACTGGTCCTCTCTTGGAGATGCACCAAGCATTTAAAGAATATCCAATTGCCGAAACCAAAATTCCCTGCATTGAATTTCCATGGTTTATTCGAAGAGGAGTATTATTTTGAAATTCCATTCACTTGTGCTAAGTTTTGACATCAGGATCAATGTTTAGATATCCTATTGATTCAGATTAGGGACTCAATTGGTTCCACTGCCACTTAAAACTTCCCTTTCACATTTTTTTTTTCTTTTTTTTTTGAATTTATGTAATGGTTTCTTAGGCCCTCCAAAATCCCCCAATAAACTCATATTTTAGCTTTGATTTTTTATTTTTAACATGTTTTTTTTCTGTATCACTGATTCAGACCGAACAGATCGATCATCCAGTGATCCGATACGGATCTGTGGAGTGGACGATCTACCCAACTGAACTAACTGTTGAAACACTGGTTGGGTTTATGGTTGATCGTTGAGAATAAAGGTACGAAGCCTTACTTAAAGTTCAACTAATATGCTTTTAAAAATCCTTTGACTAATATGGCTTCGAATTTCCTTTCATTTAAGAGTACACTTAAATGTCCATAGAGAGAGAGAGGATGGGACTTAATAGAGAGAGAGAGGATGGGACTTACATAATAGAAATAGGACAAGAGCTTCAAATCCCAGCCAATCTTCCATGGCGAAGCTGTCCTCTCGAAGATCACAGCGATCACTACCGACTGCATCATCGCCAGAAAAGAAATCCATGTATTCATAGAAAGAGGAGCCGGATAAACTTTGTAAACTGAAGCCTGAAGGATCAAGAACACACTCCAACATAATGTTGAAACAATTGCAAAGGAGGAACCTTTAACCCAGTCTGGTTTGGCATGCTTTGCACTACTAGCAGAATTGTAGCCATGAATGTTAATGAAGGGGATTTTTAGGGGTGGTAAGAGGTGGCCCTTGTAAGAAGTAAATAGCATAGCCCCTCCTAAGCAAATCGAGGTACCCAAGAGCTTGCCTTGCCCTCTGCGACTTCTAATATTTACACTTTCCATCCTGTATTTTGAGCAAAAATATTGAGTGCTGATTCCATTGAAGAGCAACTGAGATTATTTGAGATAGAATCATATGCTATGTTATGGTTTCTAGGAGTATTCTTGATAATTTAGCACATTGCAAGACAATTCTTGTGAAGAGTCTCAGGTTTCTGACTCAGTGTCCATTACTTGTATGAATATACAAACTTGTCTTGTATAGACAAATTACGTATGACAATAATATAAATAAATTACATAAACTTATACTATACCCAAACTTACCATAAGTACAAGTTCTTGTACCTATTATATATATATATATAT